GGGGTGTAAAGCTTTAAAGGTTCTTTGCTTAGGCTATGTAGCCAGAGCCATTCTGCAATAAATGAGCTTAAAACTCCTCTTAAAAAACAATGAAGTTCATCCACACAAGAGTCCTGGAGTAGTCCTTTCCCTTAACTAAGTTATAGAATAGCTTTGACAACATGGCTCTGACTCAAAAAGACAAAGCCCAGCAGCACAACCGAATGACCACAGTAAAATATTTACTGCAACAAGGTAAGAATATGGGGGAAGAGGAGATATTCTGTGCTGTGCCTGGATCACAGTGGAGCTGTGTGCAAATGTTTATAATGAAATACCGTTCCCTTCCTTGGGAACAACCAGGTGGATTCAGAAGCTCTGGGAGAAGAACAGTATTAAGCACGCTTGGTAAATGGATATATCCCCATGGCTTTCTGTCTGTGCTTTATAGATCCCTAATAGACTCTGGGGTCCTTCAAAGAGATCTGTAAAAGGATAACCAAGAAAAGCAGCCTCAGCTGTGGAAACTTGTAAGAAAGGCTCTGTAATTCCTGCTTTTCCAATGGGGTTCACGCCTTCTTGGAACATACGTAGAAGTGGTAATTGGGAAAAAAACATGAAAACCACTAGACTAATCTACAAGGACTTACTGGATCCCAGCACATATACTGCTTAGCAGTTGTAGTGTATTTCTAGAAGCTTAAAAATTCTTCTTTTACACTTATCCCCCCTAAGGAGGCATCCACACAATGAAAAAGGATGTACTGTGTGTTAATTCACTTGGAAATGTCCCAGTGTGGACTAAGTCACTTTAGATTTATTGCCACATCAAAAGGTGAGTGCGTTAGCTTGCATTAAAATCATAATTTTATTGTCTGCAGCAAGATTTTATGACACACTAGCTTATGGGTTTTTTCTTCTGTACTGCTGAAAATTCATGGGAGAAGCTGCTGGCAGGGTGGAGAATGCTTACGGGACCTAGTGCATTTTCCACTACTGAGGCAAAACCACAACTACGATGGCACGCGACCTTCAGTGGCTCACATCAAAAGGTGTGGAAAAACGAGCAGCGTAGTCACTACAGTCTTTGTGCTGAGACCTATTCATGGCAGACCTGATCCATTTAATTTTTAGCTACTCTTCACTTCGCAGTATTCTCCTTTCGCAGCGTGCTACAGAATTTATTCCTGATGCACCAAACCACTTTGCTGCTTGGAGGCTGGCTGCCACCAAACCCTAATGTGACATTTATGAGGGGTGGAGGTTTTTTAGGAAAAAAGATACTTTGTCTCTCCTCTGGTGCTAGCCCCTACATGCAGTTCCAGTTCTCTTTAACAACTTGGCAGTGGTAGGGTTTCATCTTCAGCAAGTCAGTTAAAGGCCTGAGGTCAGAATTAGGTCACAAGTTTGCCCAAAGTCAGGAGACCACCTTCTCTCTGTAGTCAGTGGAGTGGGAGATGCACTTCTGGACAGCAGGATGTATCTTGCTGGTGAACTTCAATGGAGATGAACTAACAGAGCTACCTGGCGAAGGCTACATCTACTTCAGGCATCCCAAACTGTGAAACGAGTTAGGTTTCTTGAAACAAGATGGTGCAATATAGACAGTTGACAAAGATTATTTCTAAGTGCCAATGGGCTTGAACAGATGATGGTGGCTTGTGGGGTTTTTTACATCCCATTTGAACCACAACCAGCAGATTTTCTTCGTGATAAGGACTGGAACGGTCATTTTGCAGGGCTGAGGAGGCTGAGTGGCCACAACATCCATCTCACGTCTGCTGTGCACGCTGCTTCACTTGAAGTTTGCAGGAATCATTGTCCCGACTCCATCAGTCACTACAGGCACCCGCAGTTGAGAGATGGCCCTCACTGCCCTAAACTTGTCACCTGTTAAAATGTCGTTAGCCACCCTACTGTAACACCTCTGCCTTCGGTGGGCTGTGCTGCCTTTTCTCTTGCCCTTGAAAATAGCAAAGCTATGAGAAGGTAAGCGCCAAAGCCATGCTGAATTACTAAATAGGTATTTAGAGGCAAAAACTATGTTTACCCTTTAATAGCGTTACACTTGGGAAAAGAAAAAGCAGAAGTGATTAAAAAGGGTGATGAGGTGGATGTTCTTGCAGGCAGCTGCGGCTTCTCTTCGCGGTCTTTTGCAGCAGGCGTGTTCTGCACCGCAAAAAGAGGGGAGGGAAAGTACCCCTTGCCCCCCCCATCAGCAAAATGGCCACAGGTGCTCTGCCTTGAGGTGAGGGCCTACCTCCACACACACGGGGGGATGGGGCTGTCCACGGGACACCATGGAGGCTGTGCCTGGGGAAGGCCGGTTTCCTGATGGGATGAGTTTCTCTGTGGTAAAACACCCCGCTAGAAAATGGAGGGACAGAGAGAAGAGACCCCGGGGAAGGTTTTGGACATGAAGGCCCAGACCACCCACCGCCTTCGTGGGGCACAGCTGGGTGAAGGCCCTCCCTATGTGTGGTGAGACGTCTGACAGCCATCGGGCTGACACCCCCACACACACGCCCGTGAACGCGGGCCGTGGGAGGGCGTCCCGGCTGAC